GAAAATTTATAGCATTGAATATATATTATAGAAAAACATTTAAAAGTCAGTAATAGCCCTCACTGGTATAGCTCAGTGGATTGAGCGTGGGCCTGTGAACCACAGGATCATGGTTCGATTCCCAGTCAGGGCACATGCTTAGGTTGCAGGCCAGTTCCCAGCAGAAGACTTAGGAGAGGCAACCATACATTGCTATTTCTCCCCTTCTCTCCTTCCCTTCCTCTCTAAAGATAAATAAATAAAAAAATTAAAAAAGTTAGTAATATAGCCTCTATCTTAGGAAATTAGAAAAAAAAGAGAATGAATTAAACCCAAAGTTAGCAGAAAATAATAAGAATTAGAGCAGAAATCGATGAAATTGAAAACAGAAAATTTTTAGCCAAAATCAACAAAACTGTAAGCTGGTCCTTTGAAGAGATTAATAAAATTGATAAAATTCTAGCCAAGCAAACTATATTAGTCTGCTACAGTTGCCATAACAAAATAACAGACTGAGTGATCTGAACAATAGGAATTTTTTTTCTCACAGTTATGGAGGCTATAAGTCTAAAATCAAGGTGCTGTCAGAGTTGGTTTCTGATGAGGCTTCTCTTGCTGGCTTTTAAATGGCTGCTTTCTTACTGTATCCTCACATGGTCTTTCTTCTGCAAGCCTGTGGAGAGTTCTCTCTGGTATGTCTTCTTTTTTAAAAAAGATTTTATTTATTTATTTTTAGAAAGAGGGGAAGGGAGGGAGAAAGTGTGGGAAAGAAATATTAATGTGTGGTTACATCTCACGTGTCCCCTACTAGGGACCTGGCCTGTAACCCAGGCATGTGCTCCAACTGGGAACTGAACCAGCAACTCTTTGGTTCACAGGCCAGCACTCAATCCAGTGAGGCACACCAGCTGGGACTCTTCTTCTTTTATTAAGGACACAGATCCTATCATGTCAGGGCCCCACCCATATGACTTCCTTTAACCTTAGTTACATCCCTAAAGGCCGCATTTCCAAATACAGTAGCATTTGAGGTTAGAGATCCAACATATGAATTTTGGAGGCTGGGAGACACTATTCAATTCATCATACTAACAAATTTAAAAAGAAGGAAGACACATATTACTAATATTGGAAGTGAAAGATAGATCATTTACTACTAATCCTATGGACATTAAAGGATAATAAATAAATATGATGAACAACTATGTGCTAACAAATTTTATAGCCTAGATAAAGAACCAATTCCATAAAAACATAATCTTTCAAAACACAAAGGACCTTGTAGATTAGATAATCTTTTTAGAGCTACTGTATTCTGCCATGTATAAAGTGCACCTACATTTTCAGCCCAAACTTTCAGGAAAAAAGAAATCTTGCATTTAAATTTTTTAATTAATTAATATTTAGGTACTCATTTTTTATTATAAAGAGATTTTAGCATTTATTTTTGGACATACAGATATTGTTATTGCTTTCTAGGGTTACACTTTTAACACAAAGGCATAAATAAAAGAACTAACATTTATATAGATACAGACTTAGTACTACCCATGTATAATGCACATCTTTATTTTTCCCTCAAAACTCTGGGCAAATTTGTGCACACTCAAAAAAGTGTGCATTATACATGGCAAAATATAGTAAATCTATTAAAGAAATTGAATCAATAATTAATAACATTTTAAAACCTAATAAAAAAGTCCAGGTGGATTTACTTGAACTATAACAAATACTTAAGGAAGACATTTTACTAATTCTCTAAAATTTCTTCCAGAACATAGAGGTAAACAAAAATGCCTACTAACTCATTTTATGAGGTTAGCATTACCTTAACATCAAAACTAGGCAGTCATTACAAGAAAAGATAACTACAGACCTATCAAACATAGATACAAAAATCTTTAACAAAACATCAAATTAACTCAATGATATGTAAAAATGATAGGGGAATCAAGAGCTAAAGACTTGAGCTTCAGTTATAGTTGATAGGGTTAAGTGATTAATGCATGAGGAAATCTATTGCTTTAAGAGCTGGAATACGTGACTTACGTGACTCCAAAAGGTTGACAAGCAAATGAACTTTTGTGCCACAGGGTGTTTGCAAGTGATGGCAATAGTGTCTGAGCCTTTGTGTTCAAGGGAGGGAATATCTATGACACAGATAAAGAATTGTTGATCAGTAACAAAGAAATACTAAGAGAAATCACTGCTGGAACAACTCTTATCTAATCAGATAAAACCTTTTTCTAAAACCTTTACTTACCTTTTTCTTCTTATAAGAAGGTTGGCTTGAGATGAGATGTTAAAATGGAGTACATAACTTGCTGTCTTTTCAGATTGCCAGCATCTGTATAAAGCACCAATAAAGATTCAGTTCTTGTCTCTACTTATTATTTCTCATAGTGACAGGCAGCACAAATGCTGACTTTTCCACTTCATTTTCTGGCAACTCTGGTGGGATACATTAGGAAACCCTGTTGGCTGCCTGGATTGGGGGCCCCAGGATGTAGATTTGGAGACTCCCTAGCAGCTTCCAAGTGACTTCATTTGAGGACTCTCCTCTGATTCTCAGCATTCCCCATCATCTTCACTTTTGATTGAATTTTTGTACCTACTGGTTCAGGATTGCAGTCTTTGTCATGATTCAAAACAGTTGTCATAAATTAAGGTGCCTTCTGGTTTGTATGATAACACAGAGCTCTGTCTGGTAGAGCAGATGCAAGAGCCTGTGAACAGAAAATAGCCCTTGTTAGTGAATTCTGGCTGGCTGCTTGATCTATGCTTATGATCCTGTGACTAAAAAGAAAAGGGGCTTTTTTATTTTTATTTTTTGGCAATACCGCTTGGCTTATGTATAATTTGGACTCAGGAGAGTACTGTCCACTGACCAGGTCTTTAAATTACTCTACTACACTGAAGTTAGAGTTGTTTTGTCAAAGGTCATGGAAATGGGGTGAAATATCTTATGTATAGGCTTTTATGACTTTATATAATAAAGATGCATATGCAGGATTAAAAGGAAATAGATTGATGGCCCAGAGAAGAGGGAACTTACCCGTGGTAATTAGCAGAAGCTCAGAAGAGAGGGACCAGAAATATTAGGATATCATGGCTGTTGCAAGCATGGTCACTAATCACCAAATAATTAGTGACATTCCACAATCCATTGCATACTTGTCAAAGAAACTAGATCACACTGTCCAGATGTGGCCACCCTGCTTGAAAGCTATGGCAGCCACCTGTGAGATTTTATAGGAAGCTGAAAAACTTTCCCTGGGACAGCCTATCACCATTTATGCACCCCAGGTGTTGAGCCTGCTGGATAAAAAGGAAATTTGTGGACCATTGCTGGAAGAACAGGCAAGTACCAAGCAATTTTTCTCAACAATCCCAACATCTCCCTCAAAACTATAATTTAAATCCTGCTTCCCTTCTTCTGGAGCCTGCCTCAACCACACTAATGTATGACTGTGCTGAAATAGTTGATAAAGTTTATTCTAGCAGAATTGATTTGCAGGACCATCCTTTAGAAGAGACAGACTGGACTCGATATGCAGATGGAAACAGTTACATGGACAAAAGAAACAGAAAGGCTGGATATGCAGTTGTGACTCCTGAAGAAATAGAGGTGAAGGCCTTACCACTGGGAACCTCTGCTCAGAAAGCTGAACTGATTGCATTGACAAGGACACTGGAATTGTCACACAAAAAGAAAGTGAACGTGTATACTGATTCAAGGTACAATTCCCTAATTTTGCGTGCTCCTCGTTGTATCCGGAAGAGCACTATTAACCTCCAATAAAAAGATTAGCAAGCAACAGAAATTTTAAAATTATTAGAAGTGGTCCAAGTACCATTTCAGGTTGCAGTTATCCACTACCCTGGGCATCAGACAGAGGACACCGAAGTGGCCAGAAGAAACAGTTGGGCCAATTGAGCAGCAAAGGAGGCTGCTAAAAGAACATTTATAATTACTTTGGTAACGGTTCTAGACTTGTCACAATTCAACCCTGAATATTCAACTGCAGACTTACGAGAAAGCTAAGAACTGGGGTTTTGATGAAGAAGGCCCAGATAGTAAATGGAGAAAGAATAAGAAAGGAGTTATACTGCTTCCTGAACACTTAGTAGAGCTAGTCATGAAGCATTTGCATGAGGCCACTTACTATGAACCACCTCTGTTAAACTATAGCTCACAGGTCCTAGAATTTCTAAAGCCACACAGAAAACAATAGCTAGATGTGTTGTGCCCTGGAAGAACAACCCCAAGACAGATCCCCATCAGAAGAAAAAAGGGATACAATATCCAGAACACTGCCTATTTGAAGACTGGCAAATAGACTTTATCCAGATCTTTAGGGTCTGAAGATGACAATATTTGTACTCTTTATTGATAACTTTCCAGGATGGGTAGAAGCCGATCCTACTAGAAACTGAGAAATCCTCTGAGGTAGTGAAAGTCCTATTGAAGGAAATGATTCCTCACTTTGGCATACCCAGCCACAACCAGACTGGAAAATGGATGTGTTTTTGTTTCAGAATTACACAGAAAGTTAGTAAACTTTTAGGAAACAAGTGGAGACTCCATATCATGTGGAAACTTCAAGCTTCTGGGAAAATAGGTGAATCACACCTTGAAGAAAAATACAGACTGTGTCAAGAAACTCCTTTCCCACACACCCAAGTTGGTCTTTTATAGCCTCACGGGAGTACGGGGCTTGGTCTTAGGCGGTCACAGAAGTCTGGGGACAGCCCCTTAAACAGGAAAGCTCCCAGTGCAGGTCGGCCAGGGCCACGCGGAGGCAGCAAGGTCCGATCTCCTTCCCGCAGGCCGCCTTCCTCCTCCCACTCCCGTCTACCTCCCTACTGCACCCCGCTGCCTAGCCGGATGCAGAACGGAAAGCACACGGCCCAGAAGGCGTAGCCGGCTGGCCCTGGGCCAATGACAACCTAGGAGAGTGGCGGTTCCTCAGCACTAGGAGGAGGCCGGAACTTCCTGGTTTCAGTCCAGCGAATCACTTCCGTAGCAGGTCCCCTCCGGTTTGTGGGCGCTTCCCATGCCACTTTTCGGATGGAGTGGGGGACAGGAAGGTCCGGACACTCCTCCGCGCCTTCCAACGATCCATGATCGCCTCCGTCACTGGGCGTCCGTCAGGGTTCGGATGGGCCATAAAGCTCTCCGTGGCCCTAGAGGGGGCGCTTCGGGACCCGGCAGCCTTATACACCCGAGAGACTGAGGCTAGGAGCGCGACCCGCAGCCCAGGTCACATCTCACCCAAGGCTGAGCCCGTGACACCTGCCTCAGACACCGGCCTTTATGGCGGCGGCAGGGCTGAGAGACCCAGCGCAGGTGAGTGGACGCTCCTCCGGCCCTCAGGCGCTCAAACCCCGTCCACCGGCGGGAGACTGGCGCCTGGATATTAAAAAGTGGGAATGGCCTGTGGTCATTTCTCATTGCTCTGTTTTTGAGTCTGGAGCCATGGAGGTGAGTCACTACCAGTCTAGGGTCCAGAACCCGGGCCAAGAATTGCGAGCAGGTTCCATTTCTGAAATGTAGTGGGATGAGGTGGGAAAGGGTTTACTAGGAACAAGGACCTAGGAAATGCTTGGCACTGAGACTGAGAGCGCAGCTGGGCCCAAGTCAGCTCTGGAATGGAGGGTTGAGCTGGGCTTCTATTCTGAGGGCGTTGGGAACCACGGAAAGCTCAGAGTAGAGGAGGAAGGTGAGCTGACTCAGGTCTTATGCCTAGGAATGCAGAGTGGAAAACTGTGGTGAGGCTACTGCAATGTCCAGTTCAGTAGTGCACGTGGTCAGAGGTAGAAGTGATTGTATTTTGGGTCTTTTAAGTCAGCCCAACAAAATTTTTTGATGTGGAGGGCGAGAGTCAGAAGGGTTAAGGACTCCAGGGTTTTGGGTTTTAGCTGCTGGTAGGATGAATTAGCCGTTAACTGAGATGGGATAGTTGGTCCTAGAAGGAATTTTCAGTGTTAGGTTTTAGGCATGTTGAGTTCCGATGTTCTCAGTGGAGGTGAAGAATGGGCAGCTAGACACACAGTTATGGTAGTCTGGGGAAGTGTGGTTAAAATAATGAGAGACTGAATATACAAAGGGACAATGACCAGACCATATATAAAAATAGAACTTTGACTCATAGCCTGCAGCAACTTGCCTAGGAAATCAACCCCATTATCTACAATAAACAGCCCAGGAAGCCAGCCTGCTGTAGTCAAGACTTGCAAGAAGTCATATAGCAGTATCCCTAGTGATAATCCAAGAAGCTAGATAGTAACCTCCTCTATAACATCTGGCCCCAAGTGGCCAGAGCTCGATTAATAACTGACAGCTTCTATAATTTTTCTTCCCTCTTCCAACTCTGGTCCTACCAGAGAAAGTCACATATGCACACTAACCAATCACATAGGATGCCCTGCTTGTAGTTACCCTGCCCACAGCTCCCCCATACCCATAGGACCCACCTGAAATGCTTTGTCCCTTTTGTCCAATCTAAAGCTTCCTCGCTTCTGTGTTCTCAAGACTGTCAAAATATAAATGACAGTGGTTGTCTCCCTTGCTATAGCAAGCTCGGAATAAATAGTTTTTGCTTTTCTCATTTGCTTGGTCTTCGTTTATTTCCACAGTTAGAAACATCCAAAATGTGGTACCTGGTGTATGGATAAGGGTGTGGCTGTGTGTCTGATCTTGGAGTGTGACATTTCAGGTCCTGGTGGCAATGACAGAGGAAGGTGGGGCTTAAGAACCTAAAGACAGATAAGGAAGAGTAGTGGTGGTGGTGGCTGGGCTATGAAGGAAAGGTTCTGACAGGTGGCCAAATTTCTCTGGAGGTATAGAGATGAGAGGTGCTGAGGCTTAGTTATAATGGCTAATATTACACTGAGGCCTGGGCTGGTGCTTATTCCCACCTCTGCCTTCTCATCAGGCCCTTTGATGACCCTTGGAGAGGCCTGGGAATTTTCAGTCAGTCTGGGAAATGAGCTCAGGGGAAATGAGGTCAGCTGGGAGAGCCACTAGATCTAAAGTAGGTGGAGGTAGGAGGACCAGAGGGGTTGTCTTTGAAATGAGTGTGACTGATGAAGGCATAGACTGTGGAACAGAGAAGAGGAAGAGGGCTATGAGGAACACATATCTGAGTGTTGTTCTGGGTGTCTTAGATTGGAGCCAAGAACTGGGACAGGATGGGATCGTAGTTCTTTTTGCCAAGAACTCTGGATGCTTTGTGCAGAGTGACCTGTGAAAGTTCATGGAGATGGCTGTGATGTGGGCTGTGATGGGGAGAGGGTGCCTTCATAATGGGCTGCATTGGTGAGGTGCAGGGTTTGAAGAAGTTTTGGTAAAAAAAGTGGTATGTGTTAGGGAGTAAATGTGAGCTGGTACTTGGGATAAAGGGAGAACACTAAGCCCATGTTTGTTTGTATCTGGAAGGGATGACATTGGTGACACTAGGGGAGGGGGCCCACAAAAGAGAGTGTTGGGCCCTGCACTTAGTTACTCTCTGCCTATCTGCCTGTCAGTTAGGTGAGGCCTGAGAAAAAGGCACACATCAATGGAACCAGGGCCTGGGATCTCCTCTGAGTTCGAGAGTTGAAAAGGAGGGCTAGTAGGGGACAGACCAGAAGTCCTGAGGAGAGAAGCTGATCATGGAATGAACTGTTTTTATTATGGCAGGACTCTGTGACCTTTGAGGATGTGACCATCTACTTTTCCCAGGAGGAGTGGGGACTTCTTGATGAGGCTCAGAGGCTCCTGTACTGCAATGTGATGCTGGAGAACTTTGCACTTATAGCCTCTCTGGGTAAGGCCTTCTGCACCTGTGTGTCCTGAGCTCATCTCTTCCTGTCCCTTTTTTCCAAGAGGCAGTGTTTTCCTTCTCATGGCTGAACCACGGTGCTGCTCCCTTCCTCAGTTCCCTGGCATATGTGTTATGGGTTCCAGGGGTGAGCTGTGTGTAGAGTCCCATGCTATTCTTGAAGAGCCCCAACACCTGTTTCCCTGAACCTTTGTGTGGAAGGGGCCAGGAATGAGGAGTCTTACAGTCAGCCCAGTGAATCCTGTGTGACTTGGCCACTCTCTGCTTGGGTGACTTCCCACGTCTATGACAGTTCTGTCCTGCTCCTTTCCTTTAGCTAACACTTCCTAAGGCCTGACCACCAGGAACTCTAGACACCGATGTGATTACTACTTTCTGTGGCCATTGGATATTCTTGCAATACCTTCCTTGTAGATTGTTTTTGTAATATTTTGTTTTCTTTCTTGTTGTCTCTGGTAGAGTATTTCACTGGGCAAGTGCTAGCCACTTACCTGTCCTGTCTTTTCCTTAGGACTTACATCTTTCAGGTCCCACATAGTTGCCCAGCTGAAGATGGGGGCAGAGCCCTGGGTGCCTGACAGAGTGGACATGTCTTCAGCCATGGCAAGAGGGGCATATAATGGGTCTGGCTCTGGTAAGTGGAAGATGGGGGAATGCGTGATGTCACTATTGTCTTCAAGCATACCTTCAACTTTTCTCATGCTCATCATTGTTTTGGTGCAAAAGCCAAAGGCCATATCTCTCTTCAGTCTTTCTTTCCCATTCTTGACACATTGCTGACTTGTGATTTCTACTTTGACTTGGGGCCCCTGACTGTATCCCACCTTCTGGCCTCCATGTCTCACTCTTTCCACAGCTCCCTCTGTGGCCCTCTCCAATATGGGCCTGCACTTATTATCCCATGAGATGTGTACATTCCTTTTAACAGTCCTCAAATACTAGGTACCCAGTTGCAATCAGATTTTCCTGAGTCAAGACATACCCTTCTGCAAAGGGCTTATGTGTTCCCAGCAGCCAGGGTTTTGCTGAAAAGTCTTTATAGAGAAGTGAATTGGAGACAATGCCTTTCTGCCCAATGCTATACCCCATCCTTGTGTCTTTAGTCCTAGTAGGGCTTCCCTTGTTTTATAACATTGCCAAGCACCATACTGCAGAGAAGACCATTCCTTACTCTGACTCAGGCCTCTCATCTTGCCAGCAATCCCAAGGACTCATTCCTGGGTTAAACATGCACTTGTAACAGGGCTGTTTCATTCTATCAAAGTTAACATGATTTTTACCAGCTTTTCTCTACTTTCAGATGTTCACCATGGAACAGAGGGTGAGGAGTCACCTTGTGAGCATAGTGTAGTAGGAGTGTCACAGGACAGGAATCCTAAGGCAACTCTATACACCCAGAAGGACTACCTCTCTGATGTGTGTGACCTACACTTGAAAGACATTTTGCACCTGGCTGAACACCAGGCAACACATCCCAGGCAGAAACCATATGTGTGCGATGCAAATGGGAGAAAGTTAGAGTTCATTGCAAACCTTCACCAGCAAAAGATGCAGCAGGACATAGACAAGTCTATCAGAAAGCAGGAGGGTAGGGCCTTGCTTGTGAAGACCTGCAGAGATGACACATCTGAGAAACCTTTCATATTCAGGGAGCATGGGAAGGACTTTGTAGCCAGATTTGGCTTTCTTCAGCATCAGATCACTCACAGTGTGGAGGAGCCACACCAGGGCACCAAATGTGCAGAGGAGTTTCACACTGTTCAAAGCCATAACAGGTGCAGTGAATTTGGGAATGCTTTCAGTGACAAACCCACACTTGCTCAGCAACAGAGAACCCATACTGCAGAAAGACCTTATGAGTGCAGCAAATGTGGGATATTCTTTAGTCACACCACTGGCCTCTTTCAGCACCAGAGAGATCACAGTAGAGGAAAGCCTTATGAGTGCTGTGAATGTGGGAAATTCTTTAGCCAACATTCCAGTCTCATTAAACATCAGAGAGTTCACACTGGTGAAAGCCCTCATGTATGCAGTGAATGTGGGAAATTCTTTAGCAGAAGCTCTAATCTCATTCAACATAAGAGGGTTCACACTGGAGAAAAGCCTTATGAGTGCAAGGAATGTGGGAAATTCTTTAGCCAACGCTCCAACCTAATTCATCATAAGAGGGTTCATACTGGTAAAAGTGCTCATGAATGTAGTGAATGTGGGAAATCTTTCAACTGCAACTCCAGTCTAATTAAACATTGGAGAGTTCACACTGGAGAAAGACCCTATAAATGCAATGAATGTGGGAAATTCTTTAGCCACGTTGCCAATCTCATTCAACATCAAATAGTTCACACTGGTGAACGGCCTTATGTGTGCAGTGAGTGTGGGAAAACCTTCAGTCGAAGCTCTGATCTCATGAAACATCAGAGGGTTCACACTGGTGAGCGGCCTTACCAGTGCCCTGAATGTGGGAAGTCATTTAGCCAGAGCTCCAGCCTTAATAGCCATCGGAGACTTCATACTGGTGAACGGCCTTATCAGTGCCCAGAATGTGGGAAATTCTTTAACCAAAGCTCTAGCCTCGGTAACCATCGGAGACTTCACACCGGTGAGCGGCCTTATGAATGCCTGGAATGTGGGAAAACCTTCAGACAGAGATCTAATCTGAGGCAGCACCAGAAAGTTCACAAACCAGATAGGCCATATAAGTGCAGTGAATGTGAGAAAGCCTTTAGCCAAAGGCGTACCCTCATTCGGCATCAGAAAATTCACACTAGAGAAAGAAGTACAGAGAATGTGCTTTCTCCTTCAGCACAATGCACACTAGAGAAAAGCTCTGGGAGTAGTCTCTATGAGGGAGCTGTCAGCCCAAAGCTGGACCTTGTTCATTCAAATATTCAGTCTAGGGAGATTCCCTATGAATGCTAGATATGTTGGAAGCTTTCTGGAGCTACGTTGTATGTTCTGACTGTGGACTTTGCCAGCGTTTTTGGCAGAAGCCATCTGAGCCTTACCCACTAGCAGGTCTTCAGGGTATGTGCCAACTACTCCCTGTGCTCAGACTTCTCTTTATAAGAGAATTGTGAGTAAGCCTATGGTCATAAGAGTGCCTCAGTTCTTCCCATTGTGACTTGTGTATCTATGCCCCTGACCCGTTTTGGCCATGGAGACCTGAGCTGGGTTCTGCTGGCAGCTTGCTGAGAAGGTTTAATTTCTTCAAGGATATTGTTGAGTTCATGATGCTCATGATGAATTTATCTAGCCTCCACATTGCCCATCCCAACAAGTACCTAATTTATATTTCTCTGGTTTGGGTGATATTAAGGGTCTTATTGACAAAGTCACCTTCAATCTGTGTTCTGATGCACTGATTAATGTGTGGAATGGGTTGAGAAAAGAATTAAGTTCTACCAAATTAAAGGGATCCCTAAATTTATTGTCTTAGAACAGCAGAGAGCAGCTCTCAGTCCAGATATGGCCTCATTTTTATTGGTATTCAAGACTGCCTAGGCAAAATTGTAGGGATTTTGGGAGCCTAACATCTGAATGACATGAATTCTTGTGGACCCAGAGATCACCTCAAAGAAGGGGCATTTGTGACAGACTTTGGTGCATCTGAGAGTAGCATGAATTAGGCCCCACTGTTTCCAGGGGATGTCTCATATTCCCTAGCACTGTTGAACAGACACTATTTACTTTGGCATCTGTCAAGGAGCCATATACCTTGAAGTCTAACATACGGTATTTGATTATAAGTGATTGTAAGACTTACTGGGTCCACTGGGACCATAATTTGTACAGGAACACTGGAAGTTATAATGGAGTAAGTGAGGCTGCAGCAAACTAGAGGGAATGTATTAAAAGATTTTATTTGTTTTTAGAAAGAAGGGAAGGGAGGAAGAATTTAAGGCAGAGAAACATCAATGTGTCATTGCTCCTCATGCACCCCCTACTGGAGACATGATCCACAACCCAGACATCTGGCCTGACTGGAAATTGAACCTGTGACCCTTTGGTTTGTAGGCTGGCACTCAATCCACTGAGCCACATCAGCCAGGGCTGGAATGTACCTGTTTTAAAAGAGCATCTACAAATGTTTTCTTGACTATGACTGCAGGATTCAGACTTTGCAGAAGTTTTCAAGACCACCAGACTTCTGTCACGACTAGGGTTACTGGCAGAGCAAATAATCGAAAAAGTTTTGTAGATTACTGTAGGCTCACTGCATTATCTCAAAGCCACTGTTGCATTGGCAGAAAAATAGGACCTGAGAGGAGGTAGATTCTGTATTCCAGGGGTGTTACATTTGTGACATAGCCAGCCACTTTTGCTGCCAAAGCAATGAGAAAGTAGAATTAATGTGGGGTTACCAAATCTTCCAATTTGCTAAATGAATGGAGATCGGATTCTTATGTGCAACAATTTCTTTTAATACTTTATTGAGATAAAGTGGTCAGGCAATAAATAATTATATGTATTTAGTATGTACAATTTCATATGTTTTTAAGTGTGTGTATACTCAGGGAATCAACACTATAGTCATGATAATAAACCTATCCATTACCCACAAATCTACCTTGTGCCCCTTTATTATTTCTCTTTGTCTTTCCCAGGAAACCATTAGCCTCATCCCAAGGAATCTATTAACCTTTTCTCACATAGATTTGTTTGTGTTCTATAGATTTTATACAATTAAAAAGGAATTATAAAGTACTTATACTCTACTTTTGGTCTATATTCTTTCATACAAGATAATTATCTTGGGAATACCATGCTGTGTGTATGAAAAGTTTATTCCTCTTACTGTTGAATAGTGCTAAGTTGAATGAATCCACCACAGTTCGGTTTATTTTGTAAATTAAAATTCTGGTAAAATACACATAATATCGAGTTTACTATGTTAACCCTCTAAGTGTGCAGTTCAGTGGTATTAAGTATACAAGTATATTGTTCAATCATCTCCACCATTCATCTCTTTTTCATCTTGTAAAACTAAAACTGTATATCATTAGATAGTAACTCCTAATTCCCCCTTTCTAAGCCTCTGAAAACCACCATCCTTTCAATTTCTGTTAATTTGCTCTAGGAACCTCAGTTATGAAATCATACAGGAATTGTCTTATTGAGGCTGGGGTATTTCACTTAGCATAATAACCTCAAGGTTCATTCATGTTGTAGTGTTCATCAAAAATTTTTTTCTGAGGCTGAAAAATATGCCATTTGTGTGTATGTGTATGCCATATTTTGCTTATTCATCTGTCAATGGATATTTGTTTTATTTCCACTTTTTAACTATTGTGAATAATATTGCTAAAAGAGATACAAATATCTCTTTAAGACTCAGCTTTTTATTCTTTGGGGTATATGCATTAAAGTGGAATTACAGGATCATTTGGTAGTTATACTTTTAATTTTTGAGGAACCTCCATACTATTTTTCACAATGGCTGTACCATTTTACATTCCTACAAACAGTATCCAAGAGTCCAATTTTTCATATCTTCACCAACACTTGTTTTTTTTCTGTTGTTTTTTTTAATATAGTTTTTATCCTAATGAGTGTGAAGTGATACGTCATTAATTTGCAGTTCCCTAATGATTCATGATAGTATTGTTTTATGTACTTACTGGTCATTTGTATATCTTCTGTAGATAAATGTCTATTCAAGTGATTTTTCCATTTTTTTATTGTTTAGTTACAGTTGTCCCTGTGTTGCTCTCCCTTGCCCTGTCCAACCCCTGCTCCCAAAGATAATCTCTATCCCATTATCCTTGTCCATGGGTCCTTTGTACATGTTCCTTGACTTGACCTTTCCCGTTCTTTCCCTCATTATACTCTTCCCCAACCCTCTGGTAACTGTCAGTTTGTTCTTTATTTCTATCTCTCTGGTTCTATTTCACTCATGTGTTTGTTTTATTGATTAGGTTTCTCTTACAGGTGAGATCATATGGTATTTGTTTTTCACTGACTGGCTTATGTTACTTAGTCTAATACTCTCTAGTTCCATCCACACTGTCACAAAGGGTAGCAGTTCTTTCTGCTGAGTAATATTCCATTATGTAAATGAACCAGTTTTTTGATCCACTCATTGGCTGATGGGCATTTAGGCTGTTTCCACCACTTGGCTTTGTAAATTGTGCTGCTATGGACATTGGGATGCATAGGCTCTTTTACATTAGTGTTTCAGGATCCTTAGGGTATAATCCCAGCAATGGAATTGCTGAGTCAAAAGCAACTCCATTTTTAGTTTTTTTGAGGAAATTCCATACTGTTTTCCAGAGTGGCTGCACGAGTCTATATTCCTACCAACAATGTACTAGGGTTGTATTTTCTGACAACCTCTCTAGCACTTATTGTTTGTTGATTTGATTATGATGGACATTCTCGCTAGTGTGAAGTTGTATCTCATTGTGGTTTTAATTTTCATCTCCTGATGGCTAGTGATTCTGAGCATCCTTTCGTGTGTCTCTGAGCCCTCTGTGTATATATCCTTGGAGAAGTGTCTGTTCAGGTCGTTGGCCCATTTTTTAATTGAGTTGTCTTCCTGGTGTGGAGTTGTGTGAGTTCTTTATATACTTTAGAGAGCAAAACCTTCTGTGAGATATAATTGGCAAATATATTTTCCCATACAGTTGGTTCCCTTTTCATTTTGCTAATGTTTTCTTTAGCTGTGCAGAAGCTTTTTATTTTGATGAAGTCCCACTTGTTTATTCTTTCCTTTATGTTCCTTGCTCTAGGGGACATATCAGCGAAAATATTACTGTGTGGAATATCTGATATTATCCTGCCTGTGTTCTCCTCTAGGACTTTTATGGTATCATGACTTATATTTCAGTCCTTTATCCACCTTGAATTCATTTTTGTGTATGGTGTTAAGTTGGTGGTTAAGTTTCATTTTTTGCATGTAGTTGTTCAGATCTCCCTATAGCATTTGTTGAAGAGGCTATTTTTACTCCATTTAATACTCTTGCCCCCTTTGTCAAATATTAATTAACCATAGAGACTTGGGTTTGTTTCCAGGCTCTCTGTTCTGTTTCATTAGTGTATGTGTCTGTTCTTATGCCAATACAAGACTGTTTTGATTATCATCACCTTATAATATAGTTTGATGTCAGGTATGGTGATCCCTCCTACTTTGTTCTTCTTTCTCAGTACTGCTGCAGCTATTTGGGGTTATTTGTGGTTCTGTATAAATTTTTGAAATATTCAACTGTATCTGTGAAATATGTCATTGGTACTTTAGGGATTGCATTGGATCTCTAAATCGCTTTGGGTAGTGTGGCCATTTTGATTATGTTAATTCTTCCAATCCATGAGCATGGTACGTGCTTCCATTTGTTTGTGTTTTCCTTGATTTCTTTAGCGTTGTATAGTTTTCAGAGTACAGGTCTTTAACCTTCTTGGTTAGGCTTATTTCTAGCTACTTTATTTTTCTTGTTTCTGTAGCAAATGGGATTTTTTCCTGGATTTCTGTTTCTGACATTTCATTGTTGGTGTACAAAAATGTATTCAAGTCTGAATATTGAGTTTGTATCTTAGTGTTTTGCCAGATTCACTTATTAGGTTGAATAGTGTTTTTGGTGGAGTCTCTACAGTTTTGTGTGTACACTATCATGTCATCTGCAAACAATGACAGTTTTACTTCCTCCTTTCCAATGTAGACGTCTTTTATTTCTTTCTTGTCTGATTGCTGTGGCTAGGATTTCCACTACTATGTTGAATAGGAGTGGTGAAAACAGACATCCTTGTCTAGTTCCTGATCTTAGTGGGAAGGCTTCTAGTTTTTGCCCATTGAGTATGATGTTGGCTGTTTTCATATATGGCCTTTATTATGTAGAGGAATGCTCCCTCTACTCCCACTTTATTCAGTGTTGTTTTTTTAATCATAAATGGGTGTTGTACCTTATCAAATGCTTTTTCTGCATCTGTTAATATTATCACGTGATTTTTGTCTTTTGTTCTGTGTTACATTTATTGATTTGTGAATATTGTACCATCCTTGGATCCCTGGGATGAATCCATTGATCATGGTGTATGATCTTTTAGATGTTTTGCTAGATACAGTTTGTCAGTACTCTGTTGAGGATTTTAGCATTGATGTTCATTAGCCTGTAGATATTGGCCTGTAGTTTTCTTTCTTTTCTGTGTCTTTATCTGGTTTTGAGATTAGGAATGATGCTGGCCTCATACAAAGTATCTGGGAGTCTTCCATCTTCTTGGACTTTTTGGAATAGCCTGTGAAGGACAGGGGTTAGCTCTTCCTTAAATGCTTTGTGAAATTCTCCTGTGAACCATCCAGTTCAGGGCTTTTGTGTGATGGGAATTTTTTTTATTACTGCTTCAATTTTGTCAGCTGTAATTGGTCTGTTCAGGCTTTCTGCTTCTTCTTCATTGAGTTTTTGAAGATTATATTTTCTGAGAAATTTGTCCATTTCACCTAGGTTTTCAAGTTTCTTGGCATATAGTTCTTTGTAGTACTTTCTTACAATTCTCTATTTCTGTGGTATCAGTTGTAATGTCCCTTTTTTCATTTCTGATTTGTTTATTTGGGTCCTCTCTCTTTTTTTACTCATGCATTTGGATAAAGGCTTGTCAATTTCGTTAATTTTTCAAAGAAGTAGCTCCTGGATTTATTGATCCTTAGAAATGTTCCTTTAGTCTCTATGTCATTTAATTCTGCCCTGATCTTCATTATTTCCTTTCATCTACTTGCTATGGGCTTTGTTGTTTTTCCTCTAGTTCTTGTATATGTAGTGTGAGGTTATTTATTTGAAATATTTTTATCTTTTTTTAGGTATGCCTGTATTGCTATGAACTTCCTTCTCAGAACTGCATTTGCTGTGTCCCCTAAGTTTTGGAGTGCTGGGAGTTCATTTCCATTTGTTTCCAGAAACTTTTTGATTTCTTCCCTAATCTCATTCTTAACCCACTCATTGTTTAATAGCATGCTATTTAATCTCCATGAATTTGGGTATTTTTGAGGTTTTTTCCTTGAGTTTGGTGTATAGTTTCAGGCCCTTGTGGTCTGAGAAGATGCTTGATATATTTTCAATTGACTTGAATTTGTTGAGGCTTGTTTTGTGACCTATCATGTGATCTATCTTTGAAAATGACCCATGTGTATTTGAAAAGGATGTGTATTTTGCTATTTTGAGGTGAAAGGCTCGATACATATAAGTTAAGTTCTTTTAATCTAGGGATTGTTCAATGCCACAATATCTTTATTGATACTTTGTTTAGAAGACACATCTATTTTTGACAGTGGGGTGTTAAAAACCCCCTAGTATAAGTATGTTATATTCTATATTTTTCTTTTTTTGGACGTGCCAGACAAGTGTTTAATAAGAATATTACAGTATATTTATGAATATTTTGATACTTATGGTATTAGTCCTTTGTTATATTTGTAATCTGTTATACTTCTTTCAGTCTAGAAAAAAATTCTTTTTTAAATTTAATTATTGTTCAAGTACAGTTTTCTGTCTTTTACTCCCAGCCCAGCCCCCCCCCCCCCCCCCCCCAGTTCATAGCTGCACAATTTACAATAGCCAAGAGTTGGAAACAACCTAGGTGCCCATCAGTAAATGAATGGATGCAAAAACTATGGTACATTTACACAATGGAATTCTATGCAGCAGAAAGAAGGAAGGAGCTTCTACCCTTTGCAACAGCATGGATGGAACTGGTAAGCATTATGCTGAGTGAAATAAGCCAGGCAGTGAAAGACAAATACCATAAAATCTCACTTTTAACAGGAACCTAAAAAACAAAACAAACAAGCAAGCAAAATATAACCAAAGACACTGAAATAAAGAACAGGCTGACAGGGACCAGAGGGGAGAGAATTTCAGGGGAAAAGGGGAATGATTCACAGGAACAAGTATAAAGGACACATGGACAAAAACTAAGGCAGGTGGGTGGGAAATGGGAGGGAGGTAGGGAGCACTGAGGAGGGGGGTGGGCTGTGATGTGAGTCTATATTTTTGTTGAAGTCCTCCAAGATTTTCCTTATATATTTGGATGCTCCTATGTTGGCATCATATATTTTTATGATGTTTATGTTTTCTTTTTTTAAAGATTTTATTTATTTATCCTTAGAGGGGAAGAGAAGGAGAGAAGGAGAGAAATATAAATATGGTTGCCTCCCATACATCCCCTGCTGGGAACTAACCTGCAACTCAGGTATGTGCCCTGACTGGGAATCAAACCGCAATCTTTTGGTTCACAGGCCTGCACTCAATCCACTGAGCTACACCAGCCAGGGCTGTTTATGTTTTCATAATGAGTTTTTCCCTTGGGTATACAAAGTGACCTCTGGGTCTCTTTTTATGACCCTTTCTTTGAAGCCTATTTTGTCAGATACAAGTATTGCTACCCTGGCTTATTTTCCCTATCTGTTTGCTTGGAATATTTTTTTTCCCAATCCTTCACTTTCAGTCTGTGTAGGTCTTTTGTTCTCAGGTGGCACTCTTGGAGGCAGCATATTATAGGGTCATGTTTTCTTATCTATTCAGCTGCCACATGTCTTTTGTTTGGAGCATTTAATCTATTTACATTTAAGGTTATTATTGGTAAGTAGTTACTCATTTCCATTTTCTCCCTTTGTTCCTTTCTCTCTCACCATTTTTTCTTCCTCTTCTTAAAGCAGTCCCTTTAGCATATCTTGAAATGCTGGTTTGGTAGAATATATTCTTTTAGCCTTCTTTTGTCCAAGAAGCTCTTTATTTCACCTTCCATTTTTTAAAATTTACTTAATTTTTGTTCAATTACTGTTGTCTGCATTTTCTCCCCACCACTCCCCCCGCACCCCAGCCATACTCACCTCCCACCCTTGCTTCCACCCTCCTTCTTAGTTTTGTCCATGTGTCTTTTATAGTAGTTCCTGAAAACCCTTCAACCCACTGTCCCCTCCCTGCTCCCCTCTGGCTATTGTTAGACTGTTCTTAATTTCAGTTTCTTTGGTTATACTTTGTTTGCCTTTTTCTTTTGTTGATTATGAACAGTTAAAGATGAGATCATATGGTATTTGTCCCTCACTGCCTGGCTTATTTCATTTAGCATAATGCTCTCCAATTCCATCCATGCTGTCTCAAAGGATCGGAGCTCCTTTCTCTCTGCTGCATAGAATTCTATTGTGCAAATGTACCATAGTTTTTGACCTACCCATTTATTGATGGGTGCTTAGGTTGCATCCAGCACTTGGCTATTGTAAAATGTGCTACTGTGAACATTGGGGTGCATAGGTTCTTTTGGATTGGTGTTTTAGAGTTCTTAGGATATAATCCCAGCAGTGAAATTGCTAGATCAAAAGGCACGTCCATTTTTTGTTTTTTTTTTTAAGAAAATTCCATACTGTTTTACAGTGGTTGTACCAGTCTGCAATCCCACCAACAATGGTTTAGGGTCCCCTCTTCTCCACAGCCTCTCCAACACTTGTTGTTTGTTGCTTTGTTTATGATTGCCATTCTCAATGGTGTGAGGTGGTATATCATTGTGGTTTTAATTTGCATCTCTCTGATAGCTAGTGATATTGAACATTTTTTCATGTGTCTGCGGGCCCACTGTACGTCCTCCTTGGAGAAGTGTCTGTTCAGGTCTTTTGCCCATTTTTTAATTGGGTTGTTTGTCTTCCCGAAGTGGAGTTGTGTGAGCTCTTTATTTTGGAGATCAAACACTTGTCCGAGGTATCATTGGCAATTGTGTTTTCCCATATAATTGGTTCTCTTTTCATTTTAATGCTGTTTTCTGTAGCCATGCAGAACCTTTTTAATTTGGTAAGGTCCCGTTTGTTTTTTCCTTTATGCCCCTGCTTTAGGGGACATATCAGTGAAAATGTTGCTGCATGGAATGTCTGAGATTTTCCTGCTGATGTTCTCCTCTAGGACTTTTATGGTGTCATGGCTTATATTTAAGTCTTTTATCCACCTCCAATTTATTTTGGTGTATGGTGTAAATTGGTAATGGAGTTTCATTTTTTTTTGCATGTAGCTGTCCAGATCTACCAACACCATTTGTTGAACAGGCTGTCTTTACTACATTTTATGTTACTGCCCCCTTTGTTGAATACTATTTGACTGTAGAAAGTTTGGTTTATTTCTGGGCTCTCTGTTCTTTTCCATTGGTCTATGTGTCTGTTTTTATGCCAGTACCAGGCTGTTTTGATTACAGTGGCCTTATAATACAGCTTGATATCAGATATTGTGATCCCTCCTGCTTTGTTCTTCTTTCTCAAAATTGCAGCTGCTATTTGGGGTCGTTTATGGTTCCATATAAATTTTTGAAGTGTTTGTTCTATGTCTGTGAAATATGCCATTGGTACTTTAATAGGAATTGCATTGAGTCTGTAAATTGCTTTGGGTATATGGACATTTTGATGATGTTAATTCACCTAATCCATGAGCACAGTACATTCTTCCATTTGTGTCTTCTTTAATTTCTTTCTTCAGTGTTGTATAGGTTTATGAGTTCAGGTCTTTTACCTCCTTGGTTATATTTATTCCTAGGTACTTTATTTTTCTTGTTGCTATAGCAAGTCGGATTTTTTTCCTGATTTCTGTTTCTGATACTTCATTATTATTGTACAAAAACACCTTTGATTTCTCAGTGTTGACTTTGTATCTGGCTGTTTTGCCAAATTTGTTTATTAGGTTGAATAGTTTTTTGGTGGAGTCCATAGGATTTTTTATGTATATTATCATGTCATCTGCAAGCAGTGACAGTTTTACTTCCTCCTTTCCAATTTGGATGTCTTTTATTTCTTTTTCTTGCCTGATTGCTTTGGCTAAGACCTCTAGTACTATGTTGAGTAGGAGTGGTGAAAGCAGGCATCGTTGTCTTGTTTCTAATGTTAGTGGGAAAGCTCTAAGTTTTTGTCCATTGAATATGATGTTGGTTATAGGTCTCTAATATATGGCATTAATTATGTTTAGTCACATTCAATTTTAATTGAGAGCCTTGCTGGATAGAGTAGTCTCAGTTGCTGGCCTTTGCTTTTTACTGCTTGGAATATTTATGGCCATTCTCTTCTAGCTTGTAATGTTTCTGTTGAGAAGCTAGCTACTAGCCTTATCAGGTCTCCCTTGTATGTTACTTTCTGTTTCTCTCTTGCTGCCTTCAAGATTTTTTTTTTCTCTTCAAATTTTTCCCTTTTAATTATGATGTGTCTTGTAGTGGGCCTCTTTGAGTTCCTTGTGATCAGAACCCTCTTTGGTTCCTGGACTTGTGTGGCTTTTTCTCTTATCAAAATGTGGGAGTTTACCATCATTACTTTTTCAAACAGGTTTTTTATTTCTTTCTCTTCTTCTCCTTCTGGTATCCCTACTATATGGATGTTATTATGTTTCATATTATCCTGTAGATCTCTTAACCCTCTTCATTGTTTTTGACACTTTTTTCCTGTTCTTTAATTTTTTAAAATATATTTTATCGATTATTCCATTACAGTTGTCCCATTTTTCCCCCTTCATTCCCCTCCACCCTTCACACCCCTCCCCCCATACCCCCCTTTAGTTCATGTCCATGTGTCACAAGTTCTTTAGCTTCTACATTTCCCATACTATTCTTGCCCTCCCCCTGCCTATTTTCTACCTACCGTTTATGCTACTTATTCTCTGTACCTTCTCCCCCTTTCTCCTTCTCCCACTCCCCTGTTGCTAATCCTCCATGTGATTTCCATTTCTATGGTTCCGCTCCTGATCTAGCTGTCCTCTTAGTTTGCTTTTGTTTTAGCTGTGGTTGTTAGTAACTGAGTTTGCTGTCCTTCCACTGTTCATATTTTTTATCTTCTTTTTCTTAGGTAAGTCCCTTTAACATTTCATAAAATAAGGGCTTGGTGATAATGAACTCCTTGAACTTGACCTTATCTGAGAAACACTTTATCTGCCTTTCCATTCTAAATGTAAGCTTTCCTGGATAGAGCAATCTTGGATAGGTCTTTGGATTTCATGACTGGGAATCCTTCTTTCCAGTCCCTTCTTGCCTGTAAGGTCTCTTTTGAGAAATCAGCTGACAGTCTGATGGGAACTCCTTTGTAGGTGACTGTCCCCTTAGCTCTTGCTGCTTCTAGGATTCTCTCCTTCATTTTAATTTTGGCTAATGTAATGATGATGTGCCTTGGTGTGTTCCTCCTTGGGTCCAACTTCTTTGGGACCCTCTGAGCTTCCTGGACTTCCTGGAAGTCTATTTCCTTTGCCAGATTGGGAAAGTTCTCCCTTATTATTTGTTCAAATAGGTTTTGCACTTGTTTTTCTTCCTCTTCCCCTTCTGGTACCCCTATAATTCAGATGTTAGAATGTTTAAAGATGTTCTGGAGGTTCCTAAGCCTCTCCTCATTTTTTTTGAATTCTTGTTTCTTCATTCTTTTCTGTTTGGTCATTTCTTTTATCCTTCTAGTCCACTTTGTTGATTTTAGTCCCAGATTTGTTTCCATCACTATTGGTTCCCTGTGCATTTTCCTTAATTTCACTTAGCATAGCCTTCATTTTTTCATCTAATTTGTGACTAAAATCAACTAGTTCTGTGAGCATCCTGATCACCAGTGTTTTGAACTGTGCATCTGATAGGTTGGCTATCTCTTGGTTACTTAGAAGTATTGGCTCTGGGGCTTTGAGTTGTTCTTCTGCTTGAGCCATAATGTTTTGGTCTGTTTGTGCCTGTTATGTATGAGGGGCAAAAGCTTATGTGTTCACCAGGGTGGGTCAACCCAGTCACTGGGTTTTGACTGGGAGTGGGGTCAGAGAGTTAGCAATGGCTTTTGGTTTTCTCTCTCTCGTATTTAGGTCCCCTCTGGCACATCCCACAAGCAAATTAGGCCCTTCTGGTGCTGGTTCCTGGGTAGGTGGGCTTGGGTACATTCTAGGACCCCGTGGGTCTCTCCAAGGAACTCTCCTGTGAGGCTGGGAGCCTCTCCTGGCACCTCACCCCCCACAAGTGTTTTCAGTCGGTGCTTTTAGGGTTTATTTCCCAGTGCTCAGGCCCTGCATTGCACAGTCTGTCTCACTGTTCGTTTTTGCACCTGGTTTATCTGTACGTGAATGTGTGACTGTGGTCAGCCAGCCGCCCCGTGCCCTCACTGGGTCTGCCCATTGCCACCTCATGCCTTGGATGTGCCAACCACTGCCTGCATGCCTGGGTTGGCCCAGCAGCCACCACTTTTCCCTGCCTCAACCCCTCTCTGCTGGCTG